TCCTCCATATCCACCAACCCGGTTAATGCGCCAGACATTTGCTTTCCATCCTCTCAATTTCGTAAACAACACCCATGGTGCGAGAAGGCAGTGAGTAGGACTTTCCTGACAGAGGCTATATACGCGTAGCCATGTCAGAGCATTTCGAGAGGGAGAGCGGACTCTTCCCACTATCGGCTGTACCAGGGCATTTGAGGGCAAGTGATATATTAGCATGACAAATTTCAAACAATCTGGTTAAACACACTTGTTAAGAACATTTATCTATGTAAAATTAAGAGGTTAACTGGAGAAATGGGAGATAAGAGGAGACAAATATTGTAAAGAAAATAATGCAAAGAACATTGTGAAACTCAACATGCTGAATAATAAACTAACATTATCAGTGTAGCTTTATCCTCACCTTAACAAGTATATGTGTGATCAGATTGTTCGAGTTGCATTGCACTAATATATCACATAGTTCTGGTGATCTTCGTTTTCTTATTACACTATCCAAAAATTTATCAGAGGGACTAACTACATAATGATTGTTTTATTTTAATCATTTAAAATATCCTGGTTTTGGGTTGTAAACAACTGTTGGAATTATAATTTGTATCAACTGTTGTGTATTTTATTTATGGCATACAAATACTTTACATTTTATATCGATTATCAGTATGGGGATTTGTGGAGATTGTAGTATTTTCACAGTTGAATTCACGAGTTGACCACCATTGAAAACTTGGAAGCACTGAACCCCCGTCTCATCCTAGCATGAGACAACTCAGCAGTGCACATCCGCGATCCCTCACACGGGACTCGAATTGCGAATTCGACTACTACAGTTTTCACGGATCCCCTTACTGATAATAATCATGTGCTCACTAGTGACTAGTTTCTAGATGGATTTCCTGAAGTTCTAGTAAGAAGCCGTGAGTAATGGAGTCCAATCTGTGTCAGGTGTGAAACAACTATCCACTTCAGACAATCGATGGAGGGTGGGGAAAGGTCATGGGTCGATTGAAGCTAGATAATAACAACGTTGGCTGCCGGAACAGTGGTCTACAGGTCATGCGTTCGAAGGCGAGACCTAAGGTCTTGGGTTCGAATCCCACCTGCAGGATCGTGGATGTGCACTACTGAGGAGTCCCATACTAAGACAAAATAGACGCACAGTGCTTCCAGGTTTCCAATGGTGGTCTAGCTTAGATCGGCTCGTTAATTCAACTGAGAAAATATATCGAATAGAATTTTTTCATTTGCAGAGTTGGTGTATCATTTTTTTACAATCTTTCTCCAAATAAAAACAAATAATTAGTGAATGAGCTTAATTTTATTCATTAGAAACATTTAGATTTAGTTTCATGAATTTTTGAATATGTTCTCTTTGTTTTTCCCAATGTCGAATATTAGAAATGAAACCTAGACAGGGTTCGAACATTCATTTACATTAACACATGGTCAAAATAAAGTACAACAGACTGATTTAGAAACGTGTTATTGTTAAGTTAGCTGCTTAAAGTTTTGTTACTGAATTGCTAGCCTCTTCCTACAACACCAGATTACTTTTAAACTTTAGCTCAAACAATAGAGGGAAAGCGCAAAATATGAGCAAAAGCTTAACTCTAAGTTTCATCTATTTACAAAAAGTGCACTTATCAGTTTTCAAATGGCATCTACCTTCTAGAAACCTCTGGAAATATGCCGAATACGGTAATAACAAGAGTGATTATCGAATTAGAACATGATACATAACCCTTGACTTTTCTAGGTGTTTCTGTGAAGCATCTATTCAATGCTGTTTCGATAAAATGCTTTCAAATTAGTTTTTGGCTTCTGGAGACTTCATTGGCAGATCTTTATGGATTCTGGGTAGTTATGCAAGCTTAGCCACTGCTTACAGAAATACAATGTTGTTTATCACCACTTAATTATCGTGAATTATCAAAAAAGATTTATAAAAGCCCAGTTTCACTCGCTTCCATACAATTTTACATTTAAGGCTAACAGGTTCATTCAACTTAAGTGTGTGCAGGGAGCCCTAGTATCAAAAATTTAAAATAGTTCTTTTGATAAATATGGATAATGCAATAAGAAGTTTAGCAGGACTACGTAATGTAACGCAAAGGCATTTGAAGCGAACTGTACTGGGTTGGGGTCCTAGAGTTAACATCAACTCTGGGATCCAGGTACATCCGGCTCATGAATCCCAATTAAGACGAAACGGGCATCCTACTGGCCACCAACCATCTCCGCTTACTATGTCATGTACTGCCAACAAGAAAACACCCTCCTATAACCAATAGAAACAACCTCTCAAACCATAATATCAACACAGGCGGAAAATACAGACAACAATCATAACATAGATAAATCCCTCTACAACGGATGGATGAAAATGCTATCAGCAGAAAAAAGGTGACACATCAGATGATTGGGAACAACTAGACAAGGAAAACCAAGAACACAAATAAAAGGAAACCTATCGAGCCCCAGTAGATGTCCTATGTCTTCTATGAGGGAATTCAGAAAAACTAAACAGCTTCATCAACTTGCATGGCCTTAAGGAACACCTATTTGGCTACAAAAATAAACGGACTCCAATGGTTAAATAAGAGCACATGATAGACAAACTTCTTTCTTTATCACGGATCATTCGGTTGAGATGGACGATAGAGACAATAGAGAATTAGCCTTTGTAGTGTTATATACGTGTTCAAGGTCGTATAATGCTGACTGAAGCCTTGGCCATACGGAAGTTGAAACTCCTTTTATGTGTTCAAAAGCAGTTTGTTATCGCCCTGAATCTACCCTGGTATTATTGATTTGTTATCTAGTGTGCCAAGTTTCACATTGTTTTCTTTATTATTTTTATTTTTCTCTTATCCTTCAATATGTCTAGTTGACCTTTTATTTTGCATATCTAAATGCTTTTAACAAGTGTGTATACGTACGATTAGACTATCCGGAATGTTTTGCACTAATACATCAAACAGTTCATATAAACAGACAGTAGAACTAGCACACATACAATATTGAAAGAATCCATGGTAAACTCAATAATAATTTACAATTAAACAATTACTTGTATAGTCGAATTCATAGGTCAATTGAAGCTAGACCACCATGGAATACCTAGAAGCATCGGAAGGCCGTTTCATCCTAGTGTGGGACTCCTCAGCAGTACGCATCCACCACCCCGCTCCGTGAGATTCGAACCCAGGACCAATCAGTCTCGCGCGCGGACGCTTACCCTCTACACCATTGAGCCGGCATCCAACCGTGTTAATGTCTAGTTTCAACGAATCTACGAAATTGAGCAACCGTTCACCATTGTCTTCAGTGATTTACTATCTCACAATAGACCCGATCGAACTAAACAATTACTTCAAAAGAATTACATGGCCAACGGTAGTTCCTACACAATATATAGTTCTACTATTGAAAAAACTGATGTAGAAATCGTGATAAGTTCATAAATTTATGTACTAACCAGAAATCGAGCAAGAAACCTAAAAAGTATTTTGACTTCAAGATTATCAGGTAACCCAAATATCAAGATCTCTCGAACTCATACAAAAAGATGTACTATGCTAAACAAATTATTGTTTTGGGATTAATAACAGTTGTATATAGTGTTTATCAGCCTGATCAAACTTTATGACTAGATATTGTTCAACTGTGTGAATATTGCGATAAACCTTATGGTTTTAAATTTGTTTGAACTAAACACATTATGAGTATTGACAGTACATACTCACAAGTTATTACGAAAGGGTTAAGACTAATCACGAAACCATTTTGTGAAATAATAAAAGCGACAAAGTAGAAGAATAGTTCTATTTTATGACAGCTTATGATAATTCAGAATTGCAGGCAATTGAGAGATTATTCCAACAAGAGAGGAGATCTATGTGGGCTCGAAAGATTGGAAGACATACAAAACAGCACATCAACAATAATCCTCAATATAGTTGGAAAGAAACCAGAAGTTCTTTAAGAAGCTTTATATTCAAAGAAGTCATAATTCTTAAAGAATATATCTATTCATTTTGTGCCATATATGGTCTTGAAACACATCTTAAAATTAGCAAACTCAAAGTGAGGGCAACCAAACAGATAATAACAAAAGTTACGATGGGAATATAAATTGAAAAAAATTTATCGATGACTTCCTTGAGTGTCCAAATTGTCATTTTATAAAAAACGACTATATAGTTTTGAAGTCTTCTAAGTAGAAATATATTTTTTTAAATAATAACAAACATTGATTGATAAACTGAAGAAAACCACAAGGAAAGTGAGAACTATCCCATCATACACACAAACACGGACACATTTGAAAAAATAGAAAACCAGTAGAAAGACCATAATTATATATAATATTGACTATCATTTGTTCTTGTTTCCAACATCTTTTCTATACCTTACACGTAATACAACAACAACAAAAAACACAATGTAAATAACACTACTTTGTTGTATAGCCCCCAAATGCCCTGGTACGGTCGAGAGTGGGATGAGTCCGCTCTCCCTCTCCAAATTCCCTAACATGGCCACGCGTATATAGCCTCTGCCTCAGAAGTCCTAATCACTGCCTTCTCATGGCACTAATGTTGTTTACGGAATTGAGAGGACGGAAAGCGAATGTCCGGAGCTTTAACCGGGTTGGTGGACACGGAGGGTCCACCTAGGGGAGTTGGAAAACCCTCATTCCAAACCAATGGTGCACATGAGCTGGCTCCAGTATCCTGAGGGAACAAATGGCGTATGAATCAATAGTTGGCCACCGGCTACCATGGAAATGCATCACCTTACGATGCTCTACTGCATTGTGGATCAGATCTTTAGGTCGAAGGCTCGGGGTATGGTCCCCTGAGAAAACCACCTGCTTCAGTTTGGGCACATGGACAGTATCACAGCTCTCATACAAATCAAATGAGATTTGTGTGGCGCATACATATCTGGTGCTTGCTTGTACCAATATTTATGTGTTTAAATAAAACAAAATAACTTTGTTGTATAAGACATACTAATAATAAATATAATTATCACTATTAATAACATCAGCATTATGAAAGCATACAATTTAGTATCCACATAAAATAGTATGAACAAGGTAACATATACATACTCCTTCGATAAATAACCACACGAAAAAAAACAAAAAGAGGGTAACAACTGAATCAGTGAATTAAACTATTTTTTGTTCTTCTAAAAAGTACAAAAATGAACAAGACAAAGATAAACAATTGACTCTCTTAAACACATAAACTAAGATTCAAATAGGGAGAAAAAAAGACTATGGATACATTAATTTCTTTTTTTTTAAAAAAAGAAAACGATAATAAGAAACCGGAAATTGGCCTTTGAAAGTTAGTAATACAAAAAAACAAATACAAATGCTATTTTACACACACAGTTATATCACCAACTTCATTGTTATAAATCAGTAGTATAATGATTTATGCAGTAGAAATATGTTGCTGTTGTTGTTGGTGGTGTTGATATTAGTCTATCGGATACGCAATGGTTACAAATTGGATTTTGTTAATAAGAAATGTTAAGTAGACTATGAAACAAGAATAATAATAACAATAGTAAACAAACATGCAATTTGTACAAAAAAAAGTAGCAGTTAGTTCATTCAGTCTGAAGATATACAATCAGGTTGATGATATACAATGTCACGTGGAGGACTGGAATAACGTGGAATTGATAAATCCCTATCAAATATATCACTTAATGAATAAGATTTTTGAGAAACTAGTTGAGGCATTTTAGATGGTATACATTTTCGTGGACCTCTTACGAAAACATCAGTAGGAGAATTTATATTGACTAATGAAGTAACTCGTGAATGTCTAGGCCATCTGACCAGACTAGATGATGCTAATGAATGACAGTCGACAGTCCAACCTTTTAATTTTGTTGGTTTCCATTTATGTAACCAAATTACACTACATGTTATATTATCTGATGCACCATTTTGAACAGCTAAATTAACTAAGAATTCAGAGAATGAATGGTGATTTTTACAGTCCTTTTTCTGATAAATATGCTCTTTATACCAATGCCATGCCATTAGTGAAATCTCTGGACCAGAACAACAAGGTGCATCCCATAGACCATCACTTGCCATAATCAAACATAAAGGCATTGATGTTGTTGTTATTGTCTTATTACGATGATGCGTTGATTGTTGTTGTTGTTTAGATGCTGACCAAATTGTTATGGATGGTAGAGCGTTCAAACCAACCGCTGTTTCATCATCACCTATTGATCGACTTACCGACGATAAACATCCAACTCTACAATCGACTAAACTTGGATTATCAAGAGGTGGTATGGAAATACATCTACTAAAACAATTATTATTAGGTGTATTTTCTTTGACACCACGAGTTACAGCTAAATTGATCATGCAATCTTTAGGTGAATGTGAATAGAAAATTTTATTCTCCACAGATGAACTATTTTCAGAGCCAACTTCAGTTAATATTGAACCGCCAGTTCGTAGGACAGAAACAAATTCAGACTATAAAGGAGAAATTAAAAGGAATTATTTTAGACAGAAACATAGTAAACAAAAATCAAATTTTCAGATCTTTCAACATCAACTTCATTTAAAACAATTAGTTCATTTGGTAAGTTCGAATACTGTAAAGAAGAAGAACGATTTCCATTATTACTATATGATATAATTAAAGTAATATATTTGGAAAAATATAAATTGCTAAGATTTCTTTGTTGAAGATGGATTGCACTCCTAGTGTTAGTGTTCACACTGAGACTTGAACTCAGTACCTTTCTCTTCAAAAGCTAAAAGGTTATTTATTTAGCTACGACGCTCAGATAGCCACTAACCTAGGTAATGTGTATAATCTTTATCATTGTTATAAAATGAATTCATGAAGTCCATTAACACTTTCTTTGACAATCGTATGAAAACGGTTCAAAACAGGAATCTGTTCGTACGATTACGATTAAAACCGGTTATCAGTTAGGAGTAATTTTTAGATTGATTGAAAGAAAATTTCTTCAAGACTCAAAACGTTTATTGTACGACCAATTCATCACTTCTGATAGAAATGTTCCATGGAAAGAAAACTGTAGATAAACAACTAGGCCCTTTTGACAGTTAGTGAAATGCTACTTTCAAATAGTAACACATTACACAAGATAGGTAGAGATGTATTTTTCTCTGACTGAACAAACTGATGAGTCAAATTACAGTACCTCATAAATTTGTAGCTTCATTAATATTCCTTAGAAAAAATCAAATTGATATTGATGTTGGAAAATATTTTTGTGATGTGAGCATTTTATAAGCTGTTGATTCTCAACATACCTTACATTAAATTCAACACCAAACCTACATAAAAAGACTTTTACGTTGCGAAAGGAGTTGTTTACACTTTAGTTAGTTTTCAAATAAGTAGTGATCAGCAGAGTTCAATCATTTCGAGTGAGACATTTATCCCCACAAGGTAACCGAAGATAGTCGCTCAAATATTGTGAAGTTAAACATGTACACCATTGTTTGTAAGCCCAGTGGTCTAGAGGTTAAGCATTCACGCGAGAGACCGAGGGTCGTGAGTCCATTCCCTAGTGGAGTACTGGATAGGACCTGCTGAGGAGTCCTATACTAAGACGAAAAAGATATCCCGTACACCCTAGTTTTTAGTGGTGATCCGGCTAAAATCAGTTCGTGATGCCCCTAAATGCCCTGGTACGGTCTAGAGTGGGGAAAGTACGCTCTCCCTCTCCAAATGCTCTCATATGACCACGCGTATATAGCCTCTGTCAGGGAATGCCTACTCACTGACTTCTCACAGTGGCATTACTGTTGTTTACGAAATTGAGAGGACGGAAAGCGAATGTTCGGAGCTTTAACCGGGTTGGTGGACACGGAGGGTCCACCTAGGGGAGTTGGAAAACCCTCATTCCAAACCAATGGTGCACATGGGCTCCAGTATCCTGGGGGAACAAATGGCGTATGAATCAATCTTTGATCACCCGCTACCATGGGACTGCATCTCCTTACGATGCTTCACTGTCTTGTGGATCAGACCTTTAGGTCAAAGGCTCCGGTTGTGGTCCCTGAGAAAACCACCTACTTCAGTCTGGGCACATGGGCAGTATCACAGACCTCACACAAATCGAATGAGATTTGTGTGGCGCATATGTATCTGGTGCTTGCTTGTACCAATATTTATGTGTTTACGTAAATAAATAAATAAATAAATAAATAAATAAAGTTCGTGATTAAGACTGAGAATAAGTAATAGATTGAAATATTTAACAAATATTTGGTATACATAATACGGTTATTGTTGAAGTGTAGGCTCTTACCTGGTGACCGAACAGAACATGAAATTAAGTCCTGTAGATTGGCGATAGGAACCTAAGAAAATAAATCTTTGATAACACCTCTGACTAAGAGAATAGCAGTCCCTTTTTATTTGTAATCATCCAGCAAACATAATACTCGACAAACCAAGTTCGGAGACTTGTAACATATCAATTTTTGAGTAACACTGACTATCAACTGAAGATATATATATATATATATACTTGTGAAATCCAATAATAAGTGTTTTGAAACGATAAGGAAAAATTTCGTAGCTAAAGTGTATACATTTGGAGAGGGCTTTTGACTTTATAGACTGAATCGTTCATAGCTAAGCTATCGTAATCATCTTATATGACACTATCAGTCTACTTAAAATATAATAAGTATGTCTAGTGAACTGATATATTCGACAGAGAATTAACGGAAACATTCTTTTTTTTTAAAAAAAGGAACAAAAACGGACAACAGTATACAGTCTTCACTTGACTGAAAGAAAGTATTGAACCAATAGGGAAAACAAAATGCATTCATTGAATTTCAATTCAACTTACAGGTGATTCTGGACGATGTAAACAATCAGTCAATGCAATGCCTAAATATTCATTTATATTCATCTCATCATTATTATTACTATTATTATGCATAGAATTCTCCTGATTCATTAATAATGAAGAAGAGTCTTCAGTGAATTGTTTCACTTCAACTGTCGATTGTGGAGCATTTTGTTTTTGATGATGACGTCTCTCAATGATTGAAGCACTTTGACTAGTAGGTATACTTCCATTACATAATGATGATGATAAACGATCAGGCATAATATTCAACGATGTTGACTTGATAACACGTGTATTATTATTATTAATGAGATTTTTATCCGATGATGGGATTTCCATTAATACAGACATTCTTTCCGGTGACTCATGAAAACTACTACTACTAATTGTATTAGTAGTACGAGCACTATTTTTATTCTCTTGTACCCTACTAATACAACAATTAAAATTATTTTTCAAGATATTATTATGGTTAATAATACCATCATCATTAATATCGTTTGTATAGGGGAAAATAAGCCAAGCTTGTGAATCACCAACCCAAGCTGTACATATAGTATCACCAGCAAATGCACATACTGTAGCTGTTGTACCAGAATTCCAAAGCTGATGAAAAAATAAAAATAAAAATCAGTAATAGCATACTTAAAATGAGCTATACTTGGTAGATCTCAATAGAAAAAAAGTGGGTAGCATAAGAATTATGATCCCTGGTTGAGGTAAGGTTACGAACACTGCTACTAATACTACTACTATCAAAAGCTACGTAAAGCTACCAATTTTAACTGACGCATATTTATAGATGTTCAGGCTGACACCGACAAGGTCACATGGGCAATGGCTTTGGATAGGAAAAACACACTATTCAAATATGGTCCTGAGACGTTTAAAGTTTTAACTAGGTTGCTTTAACTAAAGACTGAAACCACAGCCATCCCACCCTTGCAAACTTGAAAGGAGAACGAAAATAATCATACCTTGGACAAAACACTACCAGAATACAGTACTTTATGATGTATTAACGAATAAGATGAGGAAAAGCTACTACTAAACTAATTGAACTAGTTTTGTGTCAAAAAAGAAACAATCTCCAATGTTACGTTTGTTTAGTCCTGCTTCATAGTGAAAGAATTCCATTGACCAAAAAGTTGCAATGTGATCCCTAATTATCTAAGTAACTCGATAGATGTAAGATGATCGAAGGCAGTCGACAGAAAACCGCGAACCTACATTGATTGTAACCTCTTATTTCAATCAGATGCAAATTCACCATTAGTTGTAGCAATAAATTGCAACAGTTCATTTGCTTGTGTCGTTGATAAAATCTTGATATTTAGAAAATAGGTTATTTCAAATAAAAATTACAAGTATACATGTTTATAATGTATTATAATTGACTGATCACTGAATAGTGATCAATGTGTCATGTTTGCCGTATCGGTTAGACTAGTTTTCATATTAGAACTCGATTGATAGAACTCGATCAGCATTAGACAAGTATGATATGACTCAGAGATCAATCAAAAGTATGGTTACATCAGACGACATTTGATCTGAGTCGATAGATAATCTGACTCTTTCAATTACAGTGAGGTTATACAAATTTTGTTTTGTTAATTCCGAATGATTGTAAATGTAAAAGATTTGTCGAAGTAACTTGAGATTTCAAATTCCTTGAATGTCGAAAATCGAACACATATTTTAGAATTCAAACATACAATGTAATCTATTCTGTTTTTTTTACAAAAACATGTAGACATGTTCATGTTCAGACTGAAACTCAGTACCATCAGCTTCAAATGCTGATGACTTATCCACTGAACTACTGAGTTCACATTACCACTAGCTTTAAATTATTATTAGTCTGGGTTTAGATTATTTCATTGCTGATATGTACCACTTAAATTTGATTGAACAAGTTCTAAATAGGATGGAACTAACATCCTGGATTTCAAAATTCACTAATTCAAGAAAACTCATTTGACTGATTAGTTTTTTCAAGCACAAAGAATACAAAACAAATTTATACACTTGATAAAGGATAATAAAATATTAGCAATAACAAAAGCACTGTCAATGACATATATTCAAATGAGTAGGACCCTTGCTTAGACATTGACACACACAAAGAAGGTAGATTATTACGAACTCTTTTATAAATATACGAAAAGAAATACATAAATAGAAGAATGTGTGTAGGGAGACATGAGAAAACAAAATTGAAAACAAATGAAACCTATTCATCAACCTCTATCAAACAAATTCCTTAGGAGGAGGTGAATAAAGAGAGAAAAGCAGAAGTGACTTAACAAAAAAAACAATGGACTGGAAGGAAATGACGAGGAAAATAACAAAGACATCGAACAATGTTGCAAACATTTCGAGAAAGCATCTATGAGATAAAAAAAAGAAGGAAGAATCATCTTGGTCTGTCCTCGTTCTTCCCATACAAGTGGGCACACACAAACACAAACTCTCATATATATTCAAGTACTATCTTTATATAAGCTGTCAATAACAGAGCTGTTACAATGGGAATATAATAGAAAGGTTTATTGATTTTCTTACAAAAAAACCAACACCAAACAAAGAATAACCACACGGTGAAGTTCACAGAAAAACCAAAATTCAATGGGTAAGTATGGAAAGAATATAGACACATTTATTTTAAAGTATTCGTTTATATGATTAAATGGACTAATCTACCATTTGTGTGTGTGTGTTATTCAAGTGTAAGTGATTCAGCTAACCAGTACTAAATTCAATAATTAGAAAAAAATAAAGAACGAATACATTTACTTCATTATGACCGATGGCCTCGAGTCGTAACATTCAACATCTTTCAGAATGGTTACATGAGTTTTGTGATAAATATTTTTGAGAAAAAAATACTCTTATGTCATGGAACCATTGTGAACTATGAAGTTCTGGCAACAAAGATGGCAATCCAATTTTATAGTTGAAATCATGAGTCAATTGAAGTTAGACCATCATGGAAAACCTGGAAGCACTGGACGGCCGTTTCGTCCTATTATGGGACTCCTCAGCAGTGCGCACCCACGATCCCACATACGCGAGATTCGAACCCAGGACCTACCAGTCTCTCTCCAGAGCACTTAACCGATAGACCACTGAGCCGGCATCCAACGGTGTTAATGTCTAACTTCAACTGATCCACGAAGTTGAGCAACCGTTCACCAATTGTCTTCAGTGAATTGATATCTCTACAACAGACTTGGTTGAACTCCAATTTTAGATGATGGATATCAACGGAATCAGATGATTGTAACGTGTATTATACGTTTAGAAAATTATTAAACTAAAAGCACACATTTTGTGTATGTAGAAATGGGATTGAAACAAAAAGAAACGTCAAGGTTATTGATTAGCAGGAAGGAGTTTTGACTATTGTATGCTTTGATCAGACTAACACCAGAATGTGTTGATTCGTCCCTTTACAAATAATCAGAACCAGTGGACAAATCAAGATGATAGAATATTCTTATATAAATATCAAATAAACCCTAGTGTTTTATGCTAATGTATCTCAGCTTTCCAAGTCTATTGTTCTCTTCCAATTCTTGTCTTGATATGACGATAGTCGAGTGAAGAATAGTTTTTAATAAATACTATCCAATAAAATAATATGTAAATAATGAAAACTCGAAGTGAGATAGCCCTAAATTAAGCATTACGATGCTTTTTTATTTCCTGTAATCCTTCTAAGTCTCTGTTTTCGCATCCAACTACCATTTTGATCTTTTTTTATAACAAAAACTCGAAATGATGCATATCAGTTAGTTTACATGAGGGATTGGTCTTAGTTAGACGACCACTAAAAATCAGGAAGCATTGATCATCTAGCTTTAGCACTAATGTAGGACTCTTCAGCAGTGAGAACCTATGGTCCCAATGGGGACTGAATTCAAGTTTCGCGGTGAGCGCTTGATCTTTAACAGCTAATGACTTTTTACTCACAAATAAACATAGAAACTGAAGTCGACAATGCAGTAACCTAACTAATGATAAATCACAATGACATCAAACAGCAAGTACTGAATAACAAACTGGTTGAACTTTTATTCAATACAATAAAAGAGATCACTCCATAACAGACAGAATGATTTTGCATACCGAGAGATATCAGAACACTAAGAAAACAATGTTAGTATTACCTGACGAGAATATGTATGTACAAATTTATATCATCAGTATCTAGTAAAATGTGCATACCGCCAAAACAATACCCTATACAATAAATATCTATGACCCAAAGATAAATACAGACGTATACACACATACACAAATGAACATATATAGACGCGTACATAACATACCTCGATTACTTTTCATACAAACGATGTTTTGATTATGAAAATACAACTTTCAATAATAAACACGGACAAATTTTTTTGTTGAAAAACAAGATTTCAGTTATGTACTGTCTTTATATACACATACATACCGACATATCGAAAAACTGTTAACTATCTACAATCGTTCTAGATATCATTAACTAAAATAAGTAATCTCCATCCCTTTCCCACTTCACTTGAGTTTCTGTCTAACACAAAGGATGTGGTGACGATAATCACATTATAAAGTGAAGAAAAACCACGTCTTCAGAATCAAGAAGTAAATTAGAAATTATTGGACACTGTTTTTGTGCGTTTCGCATTTCTGTAATCGAGTGATAAACACACGCAAACGCGTACATACGTGTTTCTGCTATGAATATACACCAGTACCAAATTTATATATATATATATATATATATATATATATATATATATATTGCGGGAAATTTTCATCTATAGATTTCAGTCGTTCGACCATTGATTAAGCCAAGGAGCGCTGCTCAGGTGGTTTTTGCATACCTGGTATCCCCTCAGTAGTGCGTACTCAGAAATCTCGTTGGATCCAACCCAAAACATTCAGGTTTGTGTTGAGCACGGTATTGAGTCGAGGAAGTTTACTCTCAAAACATACAAAAAGATTCACGAAATCACCATATATATGTGTATATGGGCGGGAAAATTCGAAGAACAATTTGACTAGTTTCCGGCTAACCTGTTGTTACTAATCAAGGTTGAGAAGGCATTACCTAGTATACAGAGAAGGACAGCAGTGAGCTTTGATACATTAAGCTCGGAGATATCTAAAGCAGGTGGTCCAGTTGTTGTAATTAAATTCACTATTAGCCATTATCCAACTTTAACTCTCTTGTAAAAACTTGTGATTAAACGGTAATGTCAAGATGATCTGCTCAGGATGCATACATATCAATAGAAACAAATCAATCATAGATCTTAATATCAACAATGGTAAAATCAAACACTTGTACAAACTAAACGTTGCAATGCTATGTAGGTGGAAGTATAACAAAAAAACAAACTAATAATATTCAATTGGAAATAATCAAGCTTAAAAGAGGATAGTAGAGAACTAATGAGAACAGGATGATTCGTGAAGTCATGTAAATAAACAAAACTTGTGTTATCACTCAATCACAAACGTCTTCTCTTTTTGTACATATGCATATCGATATATCTGTCCATATATGTGTATGTGCAAGTGTGTGTAGCATAGTACATCAGACATACTAAAATTATGTCAGGAGTATATTTATTTTACATGCATCAATATGCTTATGAAAAATAAAAATAAGTAGTACAAATATGGTTCTTTTTTTGGAAAACAACATCCCAGACTAAACCTGAATGTGACTAAATTACGTAAACAAAGACACACACAGAGTCAGTCAGTCACAACGTAAAACTTCGTATGTACGTACATCAGTTCAAGTTGCCATACCACATTAGCACAGAGATGCAGTTGCCCATTCAAATTCCATAGTGGTAGAAGTAGTAAAAGTATAAGCATTAATGTGGAAGATTAGGGTTAGAAGACGTTATTCAAGGAGTATAATCCAATGAAATAAATTTGGAAAGAGAAAAAAGATACACACACACACAGAGGTGTATATAACTGATTCATCTTGTTTGTTCGATAGTCTGACCATTGATTTTTTTTAAAAATCAAACTTATATTATCTCCTAAGTTAGGAGGACATCAACAAACAAAAGATTGCACATGAGGGAAGAATTTATTGTTAATGATTATAAGATGTAATCACTAATTTTTACGGAGATTTCATTATGTAATAAAGAGGATAACTTTTATTATGACTGATAAATTGAGTGTTGAAGGAATCGAAGCTAGAAGTGTTTCATTGTATAGTCAAAGCTTAATATTTCCGTTCACTATAACCCTCTTTTCGATTAGTTAGACAGACAGTCAGTTACAACGTAAAACTTCGTACGTACGTACATCAGTTCGAGTTGACACACCACATTAGCACAGAGATGCAGTTGTCCATTCAAATCCCATAGTGGTAGAAGTGTGGTGTGAGCTACTGATATCGACATAAGTAGTATATATGGTGAGTAAGGAATAGAATATCTGACAGCAGAAGATTGAGAAGATCAAGAAGAGAAGAACAGAAATAAAAAGCAATTTGTGTGGAAATCCAGGATCAATGAAGCCTGAGGCAATTGAAGAATATTTTGCAAATAGTGTATCATGGTTTTTGTATTTTACCAAGTAACGTTGTAATTTGTGCTACATGCATAGTTGGTTGCCCCCACCTGTGTTCTCATTCACAACAGAAGTAGTAAGAGTATAAGCATTATGTGAAAGATTAGGGTTTGAAGATGTTATTGAAGGAGTATAATCCAGTGAAACAAATTCGGAAAGAGAAAAAAAGACAAAGACATGAAGAATTCACAAAGAGTGGATGCATCTTCGCCATTGCAAACGATTTTGAGCCATGTCATTCAAGGTCTCTAACCATCGTTTGCTATCATCTCGCGGATCCCAACCAGGTAGTCTACACCTACCAGCATGGCTCAGTCCACTTGTCAATGACTTCATGGATTTGTGCCACGTTTTGGTCTGGCCACCCCTAGATTTCTTCCAATCTACTCCTACACCATAAAGCATTGCACGTCGGGGCAGTCGGTGGTTGGGTATACGTAACACGTGTCCCAGCCATCTCAACTGATGAAGTTTCACTACTTCATCAATCGATTTGCCATCATTACCTAGTACCCGTTACTTAACAACCATTCACTTTAGTTTTATTAACTATACATTTTATATTTGCTTTCTTACAACAGGTCTGTTTGATCCAATTTATTAATAGTCGGATATGATTTTCTTTTCTCTCTCTCAAAGTTAGTTATGAAAAGAAAAATTAGTATACGAACTGGAATGAATGGACACTACTGCTCTATTGAACAAGACAATATTTATTCACTTGTTTCACATATTGATGGCAACATAATGCACACATTAGTCTCTTTTTCTCATGCGCATACATACAAACTTTTGTAGAACGACACATATACAGCAGTAAGAAAAAATATACCAACCTCCACACAAAAATAAGCACTGAAACGATACATATATCTATATGTTTGTCAAACGAAAAGTGTATTCTATTATTACCTTTTGTGCTCTTCCACTGTTGACTGATTCATTCAATCGATGAAAAATTTCGGCTAATATATCTGGTATACATTTAGAATAATTACGATTAATACTAGATGACGATGATAAAATATGTCGTTGCAACTCTATACTAAGTAAATACGGTGTAAGGTGAGAACAGTGTTCAGCCACTTCTGGACCATTATGACCATCGAAAATACCGAATGCTGCGATTGGTGAAAAATCTGTAAGATATGATTGGTCAATCTGTGTAAAGTTAAAGAAAATCAGACAAAAACAAAATAGATGAAAACTATACTAAGTGATGAATAGAATTGAAAATCATTAATTTTTCGTAAATTTGTTAAGTTTCCTGTTAAGCGATGAGCAGTAAACTGATATCGTAAATTGATTAGAGTTAGGTATGTAAACTAATGGATGGCGACTCAGTGATCTAAAGGTGAAGCACTTGCGGCGAGACCTGAAGGTCCCGGGTTGGATTATTGGTCTTGGATGCGTACTGATGAGGAGTCCTGTACAAAAATAGAACGAATGTCTAGTGTTCCCTAGTTATCAATGATTGTGTAACTTGTCAATTCGTTATCTAAACTATGAAATATGACCACCTTCATCAATCCTCTATAGTAATATTTAAAATTGTTTAAAATGGAAGGAAAGAAAATGCATTCGAAATAATTGAAAGCTTAAAAGCGCTGTGCAGATATTTCATTTATAGCTTAGAATGCCTTGCTAGTGTTAAAGAAATCATAAACTTTAAATAAAACATTTGCTAAACATGATCAAGGTATAAAATGTTAACTGAAGAACATGACACTTTTGGTGTGAGTTGGAGAGTTCTGAAATAGATGTGTTTACGAGAGATCAGGCGTTTGAAAAGACAATAGTTGTTATACACTCTATTACACACACCGTTTATTAGTGACCGCAATGAACTTTCTCCATTTAACAAGCTTTTGTCAATTGAAAGTTCGTTTTTATTTTCATGCAATGTTTTCCATGAGTTTGGAGAATAGACTTGAATATTATCAACTACTTCATTGTATACGAATCGACCGGTAGTTGAAGTCAACCGATTGTGTCATCATCCTCAATTTTGCAATTTTAACATACACACACATGCTTATACAAAACTAGCTTTACAGTCCACAGGAATATGTTATTTGTATATGCTAAAAGAAGACATTCATTGTTACATCAGATGAATGGATGTCTCAGCCAATCATAAAAACCGATTATTTCTTGTGAATAATAAAACGAATAGAGTATTAGAAGCCTTCCTAATCGAATGTTTGAAAATTGTTTACATTCATATGCTGATAATATTTTGACAAAGGGATTCAGGGAGCACGATTCTTATCGTATTTTAACTAATTAATAGAGATTGATCAATTCAATATGAAAATAAACAAATGGAAATTTCTGATCTTCAAGAAGCTAATAATTTATCATATTCATGGAAGGAATTTTGATTATTGTAACTCTAGTCTGGTAGGCCAAAGTTTAATATCTAAAACTATGAATAATGAGTTTGAATGTCAGTAGGAATACCGATATTTAGACACAGACATGTTTAGCTGAAGAGTCTCAAACGAGATGAAATGAAAATTATGAATTCCAATGTTACATTTCAATAAAATACATAACGAAGGCATATTTAGCCTAGATGATTATGATCTCTCGTACAAAATATTGACATTAAAGTGTATGTTACGGACATTTGACATGAACAAGTTTCCTTTTTTATATAGTTAAGATCATGAGTCAATTGAAGCTAGACCACCATGGAAAACCTGGAAGCACTGGACGGCTGTTTCGTCCTATTGTGGGACTCCTCAGTAGTGCGCAATAGATACATTTTAAGTTATATATAATTGGTTTTTTATGAACAGTCGAGTGGAATAAATTAGGAATTCCGAAAGTACTACCTCAGCTATGTTGTTGCACCTGTCTATCCATCTATCAACATGTTACATGATCTTATTCCACTACACTTTTAACTTAATATCTAATCATGAAATCCTATTAGAATCAATAAATGTTACCTTTATACATTTTTTTTAGTTGGATTATCCCTAACTATTGAACGATTTTTTTGAAAATATTTCCTTAGACAACATTTTTAACAGTCAAAACAACGGTTACCCTCCTAACAAAATAGTTTGCTTTTTTCTACAAGTTTAATCGGAAGCCAAATGTTTACGGGAAGATACTTACCAAGTTGTTTACATATAAGTCTTAAATGGGTGCATGTGTAAAAATACTTCCCTGAATGACTAAATGAAACCACATCAAATGGAATTACATTTAAGTGGATTAATAAATCTTTTAACATAGAGAATAAACATCTAAGAAATCTATGCATCTCTAAAAATTGTAAAACTGTAGCTAATGGAACCAACCATGCTGAAACCATTGAATGATGGTCATGTCATACCGCGAATTGACTAATGAAAAAGTGCAAACTATTATATTCCAGCTCAATGATCTGAAGGTATGTTGGGTGATTGGAGGTAGTCGGCATGAAATCCAGGACCTAACCTAACACTTGTCAGCAGGGAGAACCTGTATTCTTGTGTGGAATTGATGTTCCCTGTAAAATCCGAACTCTCATCATTTAGTCTGAAGTATCCTACCCGCCGTAAGGCCTAAAGGCTCTGTACTCCATTGTTTGTAAGGGCCCATGAGTAGGCACTATTGAAGAGTTACGACTCAGGAGGAAAGAATTATCCAGTAATCTCCAGTTTCTAGACGATTGTGACAGAAATTACTTTCACACATTAAACAACAAGTTACCATTTACTATGTATTACAAATGAAGGGAATGAAACTAACTGAGCCACTTATTTAGTTATCGATCAGCTGATAGTTCACAAGATATGGGTATGCAATATTTTTTTTGTATCTTTTTATTTTCAACAAACTGGTCAGACGAAATCTGCTTGGCCTTATAACTAGCTCAAAATGATCTATATTAAAAAATTAAAACTGAAAACAGTATTGTATAAATTGAGATCAATCGAAAAGTTTGGTAGGATCGCTTTCACTGAGCCTTTGAAAAAACTAGGTATTACTTTTTATAGCCACTTTATCTACACTTGAGACTCATTAATAGTGGGAACTTATAAAACAATCCAAGCACCATCACTAGCACTCAGATACAAAATTGTAGCTGAAAGTCAAGTACATGAAGTTTTACTGTGCTGAAATATAATTTGCTTAGTCCAGAAACAGTTAATAGTAGCACAATGATATACAGTTAGCTACTTACTAGAATGTAATTGTTTAATATGAGAGAATAATTGAGCAAGTTAGAGTCTTGAGCGTCCTATTGACACACCCGCTTGCGTAGTTGATTTCGATGTCTGGTCCATCTGTCCGTTCCTACCTCAACCTCATACATGACTTCTCCCACCCGTCTAACCATACTCATCATACTCATACCTATTCAGTTATTGCATTTAAGAGCTGTTGATGATTTTCCTGACGCTTTTTTTTCAGAAATCAATCATATTATGAATGAAGACAGAAGTGCCTATCAATGAAATCGGTCTGGATTAAATGAAAATTACTTTGGACTTAATAGGTATTAGTCATCATACTTCGTTTTTTTCAACCGAATTGTAAGATGATTGACTTTAAGCTCTAAGAAGTTATAGACTCAGCAATGATAATCAAGTGCTTACTAACCATGAATATGCGTATTTAGGTGAATCAAATTTGTGAAGCAAGTTTAATTTTATTGCGAACCAAAACTGTGTAGCACAGTTTTAATTATTCTCCAGCAGGTGTAACTAGTACAATCTACATACTTTACCGGGTGTTTATCGTCGTACGAATTAACATAGTCTTAGTATTTTTAACGATAGTATTTAAATATCCATGTTCAGACCTTTAGAGTAAACATTAATTTCTTCTAGATACATTTGGTAATATGTGTCAAACGTGCACGTCAATTGAGTCAAATGAGAATTGCGATAGATTGTCTGCAGCTATTTCGCACTTAATAGTTGGTGTATTGTACGATAAAGCTGATGGTGATGCAAACCAGGTAAAGGCATATTTACCAAAATAAGGTTATGGTTTCCATTACGAACTGAAATCAGCTATAATGCAAGAACCTTAAACTGTATCCTAAGTTGTAGCGTAATAAACCATTGATCCACCCTTCCCGTCTCTTGACTAAAACGATTAAAATTCCAATGTGGTTCGGTGATATTGTGGTGTGGTCTACTTATATCCATATAAGTAGTATATGGTGTGGGTCAGACATAGAATGTATTTTCGCAGAAGACCGATCAGGAAAGAACTGAAATGAAGCGCAATCGTTTGGAAAATGCATGAGCAGTGGAATTAGAGAAGAAACAGTGAAGATTGAAACAATTGGTTGTTAATTTGCAAATTGACTGTTCATTGTATGGTTTTCAGAATTTACTGAGATAGTCTGTAATTTTGCTTAAATACATTCGATTGTCCCCAACTAGTGTTCTGTTCATTACAATATAGTTCGTCTTTGCCACTTTGTACAATACGAAGATGCTAATTGCACCAAGTTATTCCTTTTTACTGATGGGAATATGAAGATAAATAATGTTAGAAGCTAATAATTAGGCAGCAGATTTAGTCATTACGTGAGACGAGTTTGCAGTAAACTAAACTAACAATATCACATTGGAGGGGGACTGTCTTATAGTCCATATAGTTTTACCAGTGATATTGAAAACTATATGTAGATAATATAGCAATAAAAAGACGAATGAAGTGTAATAATAAGACATGAAGTGATGAGGGATTTTACAATCCATAGGTTCTCTCACGCAACCGAGTAGCTTGGGATGTGTGTTACGTATACATAACTTTCCTATATGCTTACTTAAAAGAACCGATGTAGAATATGTTGATAGTCTGTTTGCTCACTAGAAGAATTTTTGAGAATAGATTTTCATCAGATCAGATGGTTTCATTTATCCTTAAAGTGATTTCCATCACGAGATAATATTGGTCTGGGGGCTAGACAACTAAATGGGAATTGTACTGTACCATAGGCTTTACCAAAGTTTAAAGCAATTAGTCCCTTTGATAAATTTCGATAGTGTAATAAGAAGACGAAGATTATCACAACTAGGTGATATATTAGCGCAATACATTTCGAACAATCGGATCACACATGTACTTGTTAAGAACATTTATATATAAAAATAAAAGGTCAACTAGACTGGAAATGGGGTGGGTAAGAGTAGACAAAGATAATAATAATAAAAATAATGTGAAAACAATTTGAAACCTAATCAACCAAAGTTTGAAATATGGACTACTGGATTGTGACTCCGAACTGTAGGTATTATCAAACTTTACCACTAAACTTACTGGTCTTCATTTTGATATCATGTAAACATTATGAGTATTTACTGCCAAGTAGTCAGAAAATATGATGTAATAATCTCTCGGTCGTTTCTAAGCTTTTATTAGTATTACAACTGGTCAGAATGATCTACAGAAGTGGGTTAATTTGACGTTGCTTTCGTCACCTGATAAAATATGAGCATTTAATTATAAATTTACAGTTGCCGTCGTATTTGTACTGCTCTTTCCAAAAGTGACATTTCATAACTAACGAAATCAATCGAAGAGCCTTTCTTCTAAGTTTGGTTTTATAAAGAGATTAGAATATCGGGCAGTTTTTATCATTAGTGAAGTGAATAAATGAATCCCTTACATTCGGAGTTATGGACAGTTAAGCTTTGTAATTGTTTAATTCTTTCCTAACAATTGAGTTACGCGTTGAAACCTCGAAAAAAATGGAATCCGCTAAAAAATGCGATAAGTTTAGTGAAAGAAAATAAACGTTGAAAACTCAAAAGCATTGAATTATCCAGCTGCTAGTTTTTTCACTGAAACAGAGAGATTGTACCCCTTAAATATATGAATAAAAGCAAAGTTACGATACAATAGTTGGAAGGCAATCCTTCTATTGTTCAGAGATAATATCAACAACCAACAAAACAAGTAGAGTGTAGAAAATTCAAAAATAGGCATGGGGGACGAAATTCAAAAGAGTAACGCACACATGATTAAAATAAGAGTAAAGAAGAGGTATCACCACGAGTAGAGAAGGAATCCAAATTACTGAGTCACTGGTGTTGAATGATTTGATAAATATTGTTTTGTACATTATATAAACCGTAGAAATAGTTAAATATAGCTTACACTACTGGTTCAGTGAGTATCGCGATAAGAAAGGAGCAAATTTAAATTGAAGTCTGTAATTAACAAATTTACTCAGTACAGTGTGTCAGGTGAAACAGTTTATTGTTAGAATATTTAAATTATTCAACTCAGTGTTCAATTGCTTTACAGATTGTAAGATATGTGAGACATTCTGTCTTAAGCATTGACTTAAGAAGAATTTTAAGTTGATTTGAAACAGTAAATTTAATAAAAGGGTGGATGCTTTAAGATTATGTCGGCAGATTATTGAGTAAGATGTGGTAATTGTGACAGCAGTAGAAAATAACTAAAGTCAGTAGTTTGATAAACATTCGATATTAACTCTGACTTTGTTAATTTTAATGGACACTACGGACTGAAGGCGCTTTGTCAATTATCACCACTGAATCACGCCGCAACGCTACGTGGTACGCTTCTCCTCATCTATTTAGCCAGTTTGGAAGTCACACGTCCCTCTGTCAAAACTCGCGATTAAATGCCTTTTTCCTCCCAACCATCATTGGTTTCTTTTTTCTCCGAATCAGGTCTTTCAAAGATATTCAGGTACGAATTCTGTCCTATCCAGTGCAAATGTAGAATTATGGTCTAGTTTGGTATTAGTACCTTTGTCTTAGCTACTATAACAATAGACCTAATCCCGGAATCGTACATTTGTCATGATGTGACCATCTGATTGTGGTGTTCGCACGAACTAATGATTCTTTTGTACTTGATGTCTGCCTGATTTAAAATTTCGAATAATACATGTTCGTTTGCGCTGACATAGTTCTGTTTGGTCCAGATTACGCTATTTCAAGGATTCCTAGTTCGTATAATAATCTAAATATTTCGAATCATCACATTGGCGTCACGATGGAGCCTATGACGAAACAGTTGGAAATACATTCAAATGTTAATGCCTTTCACGGCTATATGGAAATGTTCCAAATCTGGACTATGACCACAGAAGATGTTGAGGATGCTAATATTGTGTCTGATTTCCTTACATTTATCGAAAAAGAGCCAACGGCTTATTAAAATCTTTGACATTTCCAGAAAAGCATGTAGATCACCAACGTAGGTGATCTATCTCAGATGATTGGGGGCTCACTCGAGTCAGACTGGAACGGTGTGACGAGCCAGCTAACTTCGGAATCACACCTCGCGGTCAGCATCTGATGTAGATTACCCCTTCGTCGTATCAAGGTACTATGGTTGCTTTGAAGAGTATATAACACAAAGGATGTTATTACGGAAACATATTGGTAAGAATGGGTGGAGAAAAAATATTTTGACCAACATATGAGCCAGTCTACGGCGTGTAATTAATTGACGTGTGTTGATTGTCCTTGACTTTTACGGGGTCGCTGAACTGTTCGAAATTCAGTGCCTCTACTGATTAAATGATCACATATCCTACTACTATATTTGCAACGGTGCCCCCAAATGCCCTGGTACAGTCGAGAGTGGGAAGAGTCCGCTCCCCCTCTCGAAATGCTCTCACATAACCACGCGTATATAGCCTCTGCCAGGGAAGTCCTACTCACTGCCTTCTCGTGGCACTACTGTT